CCACTATGTTGCTTTCCTATATCGCTGACTGTAGTTCGGTAAATTGTTGTTGACCAAGTGATCGTCAGAAAGAGTTGTGGCTTGTTGATTCTCATATTATCAATTGTTTAGAATTTATGAAAACAATGTAAATAGGAATCATCTAAGAGAATATGTCTACAATATCAATACTAGAGATTAGAAATAATAAAGTCTAGTCTTAGTTCAGTCTTGATTTTATTTATAAGTTGTAGGTAGTGTTTGTAGTCAATTGTTATTTATCAACTTGACTAAGTTAATATTTAAAAAATCAACTAAATCAACTATAGCTTAGTTGATAAATTTGATTGGTTAATTATAATCATATAATAATTTAATACTGACCATCAAGCACAGTCTCTTAATTATCTAACATGTAGTACTGTAGTTCTGTATAAAGATAAAATAGTTTAAAATTTATATATGCTGATAGAGGCTAATTAATTGAAGACCTTTTAAATATATATATCTTTCTTATTTGATTATAGTTCAAAATATTATATCAGAATTATTTTGGTATATGAAATGAATAATTTCAATCTACAGTATAATAATACTCTTTATTATTTTTGAATCATGCACTGCATAGTTTATAAGTATAGTAGCTATATAAAAAATTATTGGCTAATAATCACGTGTATACAGACTAGTATTATAGTCGACTAAGTCAATTTTTTGAAAAATCGACTGACTAAGTCGACTAAGTCGACTAAGATCAAAATCGACTATAAACACTAGTTGTAGATTTTATTAAGCGGATTTGTGGATTAAGTTCTCCCATAATCAGTCATAGGACTTGATTTAACTTGGGTTCAGTTTAAAACCTTATCTTAGAACCCGGCACCCTAGCCATAATGAAAAAAAAGTATCACTAAAATAAGATTCTACTCGAACTTCGAGCAAAATATCTGAATAACTATCTATTTATAATTACCTATTTAATAATGTTGATTTTTATTTATTTATGAATCTATAGAATTAAAATAAAAAAAATCATTGATTTTAGGTAGTAATATAGATGCTGGTGGTGAATGGTGGTGAAACTGGTGAAAATTAATATAACAACTAATCAGATTTTAGATAGTCACCAGTCTCACCAGCGTTATTTAGTTTCACCAGCATCTATAGTAGGTAGTTATCAAGATATCATCGCTCAAAGTTTGAAAAAAACTTAACCACGATCTTTGTTTGATGATTGTCTAAAATTTTTACTGAACTTTAATAGTTTTAGGAGGTTCAACGAGTGATTGAATAGTTATCAAAGAAAGTACAAACTTGAATTATATATTGAATTAATTGCATTACATAATTTCATCGTCTTTTCTTTCCTTTCCCCTTTCCTCGTATGGCTTCGTTAGGATTTCTACGACCATAACCAATCACTGGAACTCCACAAGAAGTGGAAAATTCTGATCCAATGAAAAGTTTAGGAACATAATCAGGATCAAATATATCCACTTCTTTTTGCTTACGATGACTCTTCAAGGCATTTTGATACTCTTTTTGATCTTCGCGAAGAATAAGATTGTTGGCTTGACGACCACCTTTTGGGTTTGGTATTGAATACTAATATTTATATGAAGGAAATTTAGAATTAATACAAAATTACAAATTTTTTAAATTTGCACAACGCTTAGTTACCTTAGTCCCACGTAGATTATATTGAAAATTCTTTTTTAAATAATAAGTTACCTTGCCGTTCATATCCGTACTGGCTGACGTGCGAATTAAAGTAGCACCGCCACAAGAAGGGCAAAATTGTTTTTCCATGTTGGTAGTTATTCTATATTATTTCCCAGAAGAGTCATTACTTGTTTTAAAAATATATTTAAACAAATAAAAAATATGATTTCTTTAAATACTTGAAGCACGCATGACACCGAAGAACCCAACTTTTTACTTTTTTGATTCTAGCTCCTTTAACAGAGACCAAATTCAAACCCATTTGTAACAAAACATTCTTTAAAAAAAAAAAAAAAAAGAAGTTAGGTTCGCGAAATCTAAGTTCAAAATAAATAAATCAATTTTATTGAATTTTATTTGATTTAAGTTGTCACCACATACTTGCATAGAATAATCTGTTGTTATGCATGCAACTTTAATATTCGCATCTTCATCTTTCTTTGTTTTTATCTCAAAATTTTGCTCTTTTTCCTGATATTTTATTATATTATCTGGCGTTATCCATCCCTCATCATCATCATCATCATCATCAGACTGACAAGTGTATGTATCATTTTCAGCCTTTTCACTTTCAACCTTTTCATTTTCAACCTTTTCATTTTCAATTTTTTCATTTTCAACCTTTTTATTTTCAACCTTTTCATTTTCAATTGTTTCATTTTCAACCTTTTCATTTTCAACTTCCTCATTTTCGACCTTTTCATTTTCAACTTCCTCATTTTTAACCTCCTCATTCTCAACCTTTTCATTTTCAACTTTTTCATTCTCAACCTTTTTCAAGTTTTTATTATTATCACCAAATTGTGTACCATTTTCAACTTTTTTCAAATTTTTATGATTGTTACCAAATTGTGTATCATTTCCGGCTTTTTTCAAATTTTTATGATTGCCACTAAATTGTGTGATTGACTAAATAATTTAATATGTATTTTAGTAATTATTAACCATAAATAATTGTTGAAATAAATTAAATATTTTATTACTCTAATAGGTTCTTTACGTAATCGTTCCGCACCATTTACTTGAACTTCAAGCATATATGTTAATGCCAAAACTCTCAGATCAATGGCAGATAAACTTGCATAATCTCCAGTTTTTTTCGAAAAATTTACAACTATAAATTTAAAATTATAATAAAAAAATAATAATTTTAGAATCGAATTAGATTAAAAGTGATGTAAAAAATAGAAATATTGAACCTTCATTCAAAGCCTCGCTATCGGGACGTATAGTTTCAATGTCAAAAGAAATTTGTGTTAAAAAATCGCGGGAATGTTTGTCACGAATTTCCAAAAGTACTTCTGGTACAGTATAAATCTTCTCGGCTAAATGACGAACATCAACACCTTTAATCAAAGGTCCTGAATCAACAACCAAGAATTTAAAACTTTGTTGTCTACTAATATTGTTGTTCGTCGATAGATGATTTGGATCAAGCATTTTTTTTAACGAAATTAAACGTTGGTCTTGAAAATTTCGTTAAAAAAAAAAAAAAAAAGATTGAAGATCTTTATCACGTGACAATAGTTACTCATGTTTAAAGGTTTAACTGAAACGCTGGAAAACTAATGTACCCGTGTATGGGCTCTTAATTTGTAACCCCAACACTAAGTAAAACACAAGTAAATTCGTTCATTGGACCCATTATTAGAAATTACAAGACGTGGAATTCCACAAATATGGAATTAATTCTCCTGCATCACTAATTTCGACGTTCTCAATAAAATAGCGATAGGTCAAATCTGTTTATAATTGACTGTTATGTAAAAAGCTTGCTTAATATAGACAACAAAAAAAATATCGATATGTGCGGCAAAATCATAAACTAAAAATTATTGGCTAACCGATGGGCTGTTAAATGTAACGGCTGCTACGTAGAAAAACCTTAATGTTTAATTTAAGCAACTCTATCTAACCATAAAGTTTATCTAAATTTAAAATTCGTAAAAAAAATATAGAAAAAAATATAGTGGCGAATTTCATTTCCGATGAATGCTAAATAAATCCTAACATTTTAAACCCGATACAGTGGAAAATTAACTGTTTAATGTATTTCGTTAATTTCGTTAGTAGACTTCAAGAAATAAAAATGTTTTTGGTATTCTCACTATACCCTGATTGGTTAAAAGTAATAAATAATGAAGGGCTTGTCTGTTATGATACGTAACAATGAAATCGTACGTAGCTAAATTTGTTAGTGAAATCTTGCACGTGAAAAGTAATGAAACACGAGGTTATACATCATTGTATTGTATATACTTTACAAAGTTGTTCCAACTTCGTTTATCATGTGATATTAATTTAAAATCGAATTGCAATATTGCAATGGCGTAGTATTATACGTATTAGTACTACTACTATAAACGCTAATCGAGTTTCGACTCTATCTTTTGGAGTCTTTTCTTTCTCGCGGCTGAATTTTTATATCTTTATGGATTTTTCTGTAAAAAGGTCTTTAACGCGAATCGGAAGCCCACAGCCACTAAGGGCAGCTTCTGATACCTTGTCTTCAACTAACGCTCTTACACCAACTCCAGAACCACCAAAAACTCAAACTAGTAATACTGCTTCTTCCACCCGCCAAAATGTAAAGGTTACTGTTAGAGTAAGACCTCCAAATGCCGTAGAACTGACTAGAGGTGAAACTGAAATTTGGGAAGTTGACAACTCACTTGGCAAAGTGAGCCTACAGGTGGATTTTATGGAACGATACAGAAAGCAAATGGCCGAATATTTTTATGGTTAAAAAAATTATTTACAGGAATTTTAATGTGTAACTTCAATTATTCAATTTTATCGATAAATTTACTTTATTATACAGACGAAGTGTTCACTGGTAGCGATAATAAATTGCTATTTGAGAGAGGCGTGCGAGACACTGTTAGGTAAATTAAGATAATTAAAATTATTCATATATGCAATTAGTGATCTTGATTATTAAAATTATAAATCATTGGAATTTATGATTACCAGGTCTACAATGGAAGGCTATAACGGTAGCTAAAACATACCTTAACTTATAGTAATTAATTTATAGTAAATAAAAAATAAATTAAAATTTTGTCATGAAGGCACCGTATTCGCTTACGGGCAGACTGCCTCTGGAAAGACTTTTGTAAGCATCACTCAATATTAGTTATTGAATACAAATAACATATATTAAACTAGTATTATTGTTGTTATGGTTATAGACTATGGTATGAATTATCAAGATTTTAGTTTAATAGTGCGGTATATATAGTCTCATTTGATAATGAATAATCTGTACTTTACAGACAGGTATTATTATTATTATTATTATTATTATTATTATTATTATTATTATTATTATTATTATTATTATTATTATTATTATT